GGGGGGGGGGGGATTTTTCTTTGAAATGACCAAGCGGACTTTCCAGAGGCTGACTTGGCCCTCCAATTGGGTGAAGGAGCGCACATGTGCGTGGGGAGGAGCAGACCGAGCAGCCAAAAGGGAGGAAAAGCGTTCAAGCTCAAACAACACCCCCCTCCACCCCCAAAAATGTTTTTAGCTCTCTCTCTGTGGAGTCTCGCTCCTCCGACCTTACTTTGCGCTTTGCAAATGTTAACCGCCGGGGTCTGGACAGTCTCTGGTCCACTGCGGAGGGCTGTGGCCTGAACTGGACTGCGACCGACAGCGACCGGGGAAAGGCGACCAAAAAAAAAAAACCCCAAATAACAGCCACAACAACAACAGAAGTTGAGCGCAGCCAGATCGGCCGGGATGCAGGCGCGCTACTCGGTGTCCAGCCCCAACTCGTTGGGGGTCGTGCCGTACATCAGCAGCGAGCAGAGCTACTACCGGGCCGCCGGCGGCTACGCGGGGATGCCGGCGCCCGCGAGCATGTACTCGCACGCGGCTCACGAGCAGTACCAGGGCGGCATGGCGCGCGCCTACGGGCCGTACAGCCCTCAGCAGCAGCCCAAGGACATGGTCAAGCCGCCGTACAGCTACATCGCTCTCATCACCATGGCCATCCAGAACTCGGCGGAGAAGAAGATCACCCTCAACGGGATCTACCAGTTCATCATGGAGCGCTTCCCCTTCTACCGGGACAACAAGCAGGGCTGGCAGAACAGCATACGGCACAACCTGTCGCTCAACGAGTGCTTCGTCAAAGTGCCCCGCGACGACAAGAAGCCCGGCAAGGGCAGCTACTGGACCTTGGACCCGGATTCGTACAACATGTTCGAGAACGGCAGCTTCCTGAGGCGCAGGAGGCGCTTCAAGAAGAAAGATGCGCAGAAGGAGAAGGACGAGCGCGAGCGGGCCAAGGAGCCGCAGGCGGCGGGTCGCGCCTCGTCGGCTCGGGAGCCGCAGGACGCGCCGCCGGTGCACGGCTGCCAGCCCCTGCGCATCCAGGACATCAAGACGGAGAACGGGACCTGCACGCCGCCTCGAGCCGCGTCGCCGGCGCCGAACAACGCCGTTGCCAAAATGGAAAGTCCCGACAGCAGCAGCAGCGGCGGCGGCGGCGGCGGCAGCGCGTCCAGCGGGAGCCCGCGCAGCCGCTCGCTCGGCACGGACCTCTCCGAGCAGCAGCGGCGGCAGCAGCAGCAGCAGCAGCAGCACAGCCAGGCCTCCGCGCAGGGCTTCAGCGTGGACAACATCATGACGTCCCTGCGGGGGTCTCCCCACGAGGACCTCTCCCCGCCCCTCGTCGCCTCCTCTCGGACAGGTATGACCCCCTCGCTGGCGCTCGGCTATTCCCCCAACCAGGCGTCGTCCTACGCGTCCGGCACGTGCAGCCAGAGCGCCCCCAACTCCACCTATCACTGCAACCTGCAAGCCATGAGCCTCTACGCGGCGGAGCGAAGCCCCGGAGGCCACCTGGCGCCGTCGGGCGCCGCGGACGAGACTTTGACCGACTACTGCGGCGCGTCGCCGCCGGGCCACGCCAACCAGGAGGGCCAGCAGCAGGGCCAGCAGCAGGGGCGGCTCGCCTCCTGGTACGGCGACCTGAGCCACTTGGGAGCGGGCTACCCGTCCCAGCAGCAGAACTTCCACTCGGTCAGGGAGATGTTCGAGTCCCAGCGGATGGGGCTGAATGGGAATAACAGCTGTCAGATGGCCTTCCCGTCCACTCAGTCCATCTACCGCACCTCAGGAGCTTTCGTTTACGACTGCAGCAAGTTTTGACAGCTTGCAAAGCGCAACCGGCAACTGTACTTTCGGACGTGATCTTGAGGAGGTTTTTTTTCTTTTTTTTTCACTTGACATCCTGAATGCACAAATTAAAGAACGAGACGCAGATGATTTTGTCCAGGCGCGTGTCCAACACACGTAAGTTTATTCTCTTAATTTAAAAAAAAAGGGCGAAAAAATGGCTCGCGCTCTGAGCCTGCTGACGTTTGTAAATGATATCCTAATATATTTATTTTTAGAGAGCGATGAATGGGTTTCTTGGAAGCCAGACACGCAGACGTTTTTTTTTGTCCAATTTCTTGTCCCCATTAGGTACAAGCGGGACCTTTGTAGCCCAAACTGGTGATTTGATTTGTGTGCTTTGTCAACACATTTTTGAAGGCATTACATTTTTTGGGATGAATAAAGTGCCTCGGTTTTAATCGGAGTGATTTGTTAGTGCTAAAAAAATATATCGGACCTGGATGGAAACACATAACCAGTCAGGCAAGGAGTGCTCTCAATGAAATCAATTATTCAGGACCCAAATCCCAGTCTGCAACCCAAATTTCACGTTCCAAATGTTCCTTTGAGCTGGTGCAGGCAACCTCCGCGTGGGTCAAACGTGCACGAACGTCAACACGCGCGCGGCCGCAGTTGCTGCGGAGGCCCCAAAAAGGCCCAGTCAGCGATTTTTTCTCAGCCGTCACGACCGAGCTCGCCACAAGCAGCAACGCTTGGGCGCTCGCTTGTGCTTCGGCTCAAAAGCGAGCACCGACGGATGTCTCTCCGATTTGGTTGTGGCGGCTCGTTGGTTGTGAACGCCGTCACTTCAGCGCCACGTTTGAAAACGCCAAGCTGGCTCGTTTCGAAGAAAAAGGTCGTCGCTGTGATCGTCTTGTCGTCCCGAAAATTTGGACGCCGAGAGTCGGCCCGAGCGAGCGTCTGCAAACAAACGTGCTCGCAATTCGAAACGAGCCTCACTGTGATTGACTGCAGGAAGGCAGCTCGGGCCACGCGTGCGTTTGTTTGCCTTTTCCTTCTCTTTGCTTTTTTTTTTTTGCCGGCAGGTGCACGAGTGCATGCAGCCGATATTAGGAACCTTGTCTTTTCCACACGAAACACGTCACTTCAATTTTAAGTGAGTGATTCATGTGACGTTTTATTGTCAACCAGAACGCGCCAATTTGCTCTGTTCCCTGATAACACGCACACCTCATCCGATTTTATCGGCCCAATACATTCGGATCGACACGATCGAATTGCATCAAAGAAAATCACGTCTCAATGGAATTGCGACTCACGAAACTACAAAGGCATTAATAGCACAATATTTTTTTTAATGACAAACTAATATTAAGACCGCAATTAAAAACAACAACACAGGCGTCGATTTCTCTTTCCGCTTTACACGAACACCCGCATGAGGTGTGTTGGCCTGTTTGGTCACTAAGCGGGCAGAGTTGAACACTCCCTGAAAATAAAGACAAAAAAGATTAGAGTGCACTATTGCCACTTACATTATTGGCATACAAAAGTTAAAAAAAAAAACTCAAAATGAAGACGTTGCAAATGAGCTGCTCAATGGAACCAACTCTATTTGTTAAAAAAAAAATGCAAGAATGGAATTAAAAACCCAAAAAATATCACCTGATTTTTTTTACACTGGAATTTTTTTTTGTTGAATTTACAGCATTTTATTTTGTTAATTCGTTGCCCACAAGAAAATCATCTGAATTTAGAAACATCTTTGATGTATATGAGACTAATTTATTTCACGCAACCACATGACGAAATAAAACGGAGCAAATTCAACCCCTCCCCCACACACACACACACAAAACACAAAAAAAGGGAAAAGAAAAAAAATTGCTCAGTGTATCCAATCATTTGAAAAGGAGTGATCTAAAAGAATTTCATTTTCGTCACACGAAATCGAATTCTACACCATTCGGGACGATGGCTGGCTTCTGGAATATTTTTTGCACCACTCGAAATTTGTTGTGCGTCCAAATTGAGCGTTGTCGGGAGGGATTTGATTTCTTCGCATTGTTTATTTCCGCACCCAGGTTGACCCCACGCCCACACACCCACACACGCACACACACACACACACACACACACACACAAGTTGTGTGGAAAAGAAATTCATCCACTGCAAAAAGAAATGGTGTGCGCACTCCATCTGACTTCGTCAATATTTATAAATAAATAAAATCATCCTAATTTTTTGAAGATGTACGGTACTCCGAAAACGGCCAATTGCGTACAGATGATTGGATTTCGTGCACCCACTTGACGAAATCAAATCGGTTTTTTCCCCCCCTGTGCGCGATCAAATATTTTCTGATCCAAACAACGCCAATGAAATGCACCGCGAACGGCGTTATGAGAACTTCTCGTTCATTGTGTTTTTAGATTTGACGTTGCAGGTCGCTTATTGGTGAATAAATCGCTCTTTCTTCCACATGACCAGCATGGGACGAAACTCCCCCGAATGTCCTTCCCATGCATGCCGAATTGGAGCAAAAAAGAGCACCGGGACGGCAAAGCAGCTCACAAAGCCTTTTGAAAGGCTGCATTCCAAAATACTAAAGGCGTTTACGTGTTCATGGTATACCTTAAAAAAATAATTAAGAAAGAAAAATAAAATACAATAAAGTCAATCAGTGCGACGAACTTTCCAGCCGGTCCGGATGAGTTTCATTAGTAGGCTACATTTTTTTTTGTGTGTGTGTGTGTGTGTGTGTGTGTGTGTGTGTGGGGGGGGGCACATTTGAGAAGAATTTCCAAAATTCCTGCAACGAGGAAAAAAACCCCAAAAACTTCCATGTCCAATTCAAGACGGCACAGTGTTGACAATTAAAAAAATACAAGCAATGCGATGAGAGGACCACGGCAGTTTAGCTGAACCAGGACAAGCGCGCAAATACACTCAGACACACACACACACGCACACACACACGAAAGTTCACGCGGACTGAACCAGGACAAGCACACACACACGAAAGTTCACGCGGACAAAAGATGCGTTCAATATTCTTCATTTATTTTTTTTCCATTTGCATGTAAACTTGATGATGTACAGCATATTTCTCTGGAACCGCTCTTACATGGAACGCTGAGCCAAAAGGGAATCAGTCATTGTTTTCGTTCGGCTACTGCTACTCATGATTTAAAAAAAAAACAACAAAAAAACGAAATCCGGGACAACTTTGATTCCTCATCTGTGTGTGTGTTGCTGGGAATGTCGAAGGCTTGGTGTCCTCCAGGGACCGTCTCAGGCATTTGGGTTTTCCTTCATCAGCGCAACGTCTGCCTCCACCATTTCTTTCACCAGCTCCTGCAGGCACGCCACAACCCGCGTCACGATGACGTCACCGCAGGCCAGCAACGGTCACGGAATGATTTCTTCCTCTCGGGCGTGCCACCGCCACGAGTGGGCAAACTCCGGCGCCCGAGGGCGACTTTGGAGTTAGGCCAGCAAAGGAACTCGTAAAAAAAAAAAAAAAAAAATTCGCTCGTCCTTCCGGCCTAAATTGCGCGTCCGTATTGGAGTGGGATTTCTTTGTTGTTTGCAAGTGAAAACAAAATCAATTCAAATGAGGAAAAACAAAGCATCGCAGCAAAGAAATGAAGGCTTATGTCATGTGAGGTCCTGCATTGTTTTCAGAAGGCAAAACAACTTCAAGCAAACGAGACGATTTTTGAAACAACAAAGGAGCAAATGATTCACATGAAACAATCGCAATCGATCGTCCAATCAAATTGTAGCGCACATTCTGGACATATTTGTCGGTTGACTACTGGTTGTTACTTTTTTTTTTTGTCGTCGTTGTTGATATTGATGCTGTATTTAATATTTTATGGTTTCACTTGAGTTGTTGATTCTCATCATGACAACTCGAATTATTTTCAGTCTTGCTTGTATGACGACCGGTCGATTTGGTCAATTAGGAAAATATGGAGAAGATTTGTGCAGACTTCTTCCCACTCCCCTTATTTTACTTTTACTTGTTCATTGTCTATTTTTCATGCTTGTTTTTTTTTTTTTAAATTGTTATTTTAATAGTTGTTTTTTTCATGTTCAATGAGCCACGCATTCCTAATTCCAACGTACAGCAAGGCATCAACTGAAACGCCTTGACCAAATAAGAACACGTTCGAACCAGGTACCGTTGTCCACCACTGCAAATAACCACCTGACATCATATCCGCCAGACTTCATTTTTGGAAAACGTGTCAAACCTTTCTCGTCTATGCGGCGGCGCGCGGCAGCATACGCGCGCGTCGATTACGATTCTGTGGAAGCGGTGTGACGATTATTCGCGGCTACCTTGAGGAGTCATCCCAAGTGGGTTACGCCCTCTTGTGACTCCAGCCGGGCGACGAGGAGACTCACCTCAAAAGTCACCTTTGGTTTCCAGCCCATCCTCTCGCACGCTTTGCTGCTGTCGCCTTGCAGGTAATCCTATGAGGATAAAAAGCGCAAAAGTCAACAAGGACAAACGCCGGACAGCGTCGAGCGAGTCGGCCGGAGAGCTCGTGTCCAGACACTCGCCCCCCCTCCGGTGGCAGAGCGCGATGGATTGTGGGACTCTTGCGGGCCTCTCAGCCCAAGTCAAGAAGTCGCCATTAGTCCCCTCCGAACAACCCCGGACTTGTTTTTCTCCTTTGCCGTGTTCTCCATCGGGCTCAAGACGCACCGAGATCAGCATCTGCCATCAACGTGTGTCCAGTATCGAACCGCATCGACGGCCTCTTTGGACTTTTTGCCGAGCCACCCAAAGAAGGTCGGCGAGTGAAAAGAAAGCCGCTAACGAGTCTTCCGCGGTCACGTGAATTCAGCCCAAACACAGCATGTAGCGAATAATTGAACTTCAACCACAAACAGACGGAGCGCAACAGAATTTTCATATGGAGCCGATTTGGAACCCGACACCAGATTTGGGTCCACTCCGTTACAAGTAGTGCTACTTTGCCTGCAGGCTGAAAAGACGTAGCGCAGATTAGCAACAATAAAACGACTGTGGAGGGAAATGTAATGCAGGGGAGGCGCAAGTACGTCGTCTCCCAAATTGATTTTGCCACGGTTCAGGCTGATGCAATCCGGCGCCGTGAAAAACGGACGGAGCGGTGACGATCCACTGAGACGAGACGGAGGGAAGCGAACGCTTGAAGCCGCACGACACGGCACAGGTGGGCTCTCCATTTCGCAAAGGGGCCACATGAGAAACGGCGAGCCGACGTGCGAACCTCAACTTTGACGGAGGTTGCACTGTCGAACTTTTCTGTGTATTCAAGGACACAAATTTGTGATGAAAAGAACAACACAATTCTGAATGCGAAGATGGGATTTGGCCACTGTTAAGTGCAGAGCCGGTTCTAGTCTGTGAGATCGAGGGCCATTGGCCACCCCAAAAACTCAACTATTTGCCTTGAACAGAAAGCTGATGAACAATCCAAACAATATAAAACCGCTTTCTTGACTGACTTTAGCTCCTTCCATTTTTTCCTCCGTATGCGGCCCTCCAACGAAAAAGGTTCGGACGTCCCTGCTCTACTGTATCAAGGGGAAATATTCCGATGCGTCGCTTTCACGATTGCATGCTCAGAACGGAGCAATCGTCACGTTATTGCTGGCGTTCATGGCGAAAACCCATCACCAAAAAAAAAAAAAAAAAAATCATGACTAAGCAGCGTGCAAATAATATCCAGCATGTTCAAATTATTTGCCTTTGGCTTTGTCATCAGATGAAAACTCTTTCCCGCAGAACTAAAAACAACTCCCCACCCCCTCATTCCCCTTTCCACCATTCCTGACGCGAGTCGAAACGTTTTCGGAAGAGAGGTGAACTCGACCCTTTGTGTGGCCGTTCTCGCCACCGAGCATCTCACAGAGCAAAGGTGTGGCGTGTTCAGACAATACGATTGCTTTCCGGCTCCCAAATGCCTTTGCGCCTCCCTGGTGGGCCCCCCCCCCCCCGACCCCCAAGAAAAGAAGCCATTCCTATCAACAAGCGCAAACCTTGAAAAGGAGCAGACAAGAGTGCGAGCACGCTCCATAAAGCACGCGGGCAGTAAAAAGGCAATCTGAAGCGGCTCCACTGAATGCAAAGGAATTCCAGTATCACGGCGATGCGCTCCAATAAATCGCACGGCACGGATTCGGGTTGTGACACACATGCGGACATGCAAGAGAGGATGCGCGTCTCCAGTTGCAAAGACTGAAAACGCTGGGGGGGCGGGGGGGGCAGCGCGGGTGCCGGTCCCCAAGTCAAATTTCAATTGCAACGGATCAAGCGATGTCTTCACAGCGCCGCCCGCTGCTTTTTATCTCCAATCTTAAATAGACGGAACGCGGCCTTCCCGTTCTGGAAGTCGGCGAGCATCCGTGCAGTCGAGAAGACAACGTGACAATGTCGAAGGGAAAAAAACAACAACAAAAAAAACATTTGGCCCGACTGGAACGTCGCGTCCTTTTGACCAAACTGGCTCTTTTAATGGAGGGGCTCACGTGCCATCCGGGGCCTTCTAAAGTTCCGTTGATGTTTTTTTTTTTTTTGCCAACAATGGACCGAGGAAGCGATAACGGGGAGCAAAAAGCAGTTTTCTCTCTGCCGCGCCCTGATGTGGTCGTCAGTCTGCGGAAAACATGGAGGCGGCTGTGCTCTCCGAGCGCGCAGGTGTGCCAGCTTGAGCAGGTGAGAACACACTCCCGGGAGGAGAACGCCGAGTCGCAAAATCCGTCACGGCCGCTCAGCTTCTAACGCAGCTCAGCCATCATAGCGCCGACCCGCCCCGAGGACAAAAAGATCCAGAAGACGTGAGGAGGAAAGAAACAGGACAAGCTGCCGATGGACATGACCGAACGCAGGGGTCCCAGCCGCCGGGGCGCGGACCGTTTGGTACCAAGCCGCACAGACCGGTAAGCATGTAAAGCCTCATAGTGCGGAGGTGCAGGGTTCGATTCCGGCTCCGGGCTTCCTGTGTGGAGTTTGCAGGTGATGGTTGACTTTCCTCCATGCTGTATCCTTAGCTTTGATGTCAGGACCACTGCTTTAAAACTGGCAATGTAAAAGTGAGGAAAAAAAAATGGTTGCCAGTCCGCCAAGCTTGTCTCAACTGGTCCGCGACACAAAAAAAAAAAAAAAAAAAAGGTTGGGGGGCCACCGATCTAACGTGTTTGAAGCCTCCCAAGCGGCACAGTGAGCCGTGTGCCAGCAGCTTGCGACTGGTGCAGGCTCCACCCTCGCACATTGTGCTTGCGCACTGGTTAGCCCCAAATCGTCTGGCTGCCTAACACAGTGAAAAAAACAAACAAACAAAGAAATCAATATAAACAGACCAAAAAAAAAAAAACAACAACAAAAAAAAAAAAACTATGCTCGGGCCATTGCTTATTGTTGTGGAACTTTCACTTGGCCCTCCGACGGCCAAAGTATCACAACATTTTGTCCTTGGTACTTCTTCCCAGAGAGAAAAAAGGTCCGGCGGCGGGGTTTCGACCACTGCCTTGAAATTTATCGCGTCCGTGTGAGTAAGTGAGAGAGAGCGAGAGAGCGAGGCGGACAGCGAGCGTTAGTGCTGTGTGAGTTATAGCTCAGGTTTCCTTCCCTGACTCCCCACGCAGCTTGGCCTGCGCACAATGTGTTAAGTGACCTCCAAAAGGGTGGCCCTGTCATTCTGAGGAGCATGCGCGCTCCAAACTGCGCACGCAGCAACCTCGAGTCTTCGACGCGGTTGCCAGCATGACCCTCCGCATTCGTGCAAATCAAGCCCGCTGAAATCTCACGTCGGCAAGTCGAATTTTGAAATCCAAACGGGGGAGTTGTTTTGCCCATTTGTTCGTGTACATACCAGGTGGGCATTCGGCATTATTTACTTGCGCCGGGAGGCTGTCAAAAAAGTCCCATTTGACACGGTTTACATCTTTCAGTTTTCCGAGTGACGACGGTCTCATTTTTGATGACGACGGGAAGAAAATCATCGTGGCTAAAAGTGCTCTCGGGCTTGAGCCGGAGCGGCGCTGGACTTGTCGCGACTGCTCCTACGCCTTCCCTCCGACGTGATTCTATTCTTCCCGCGGACAGGAAACAGCTCAGAATTCCCCGAGTCAGCATAAAGCTGCAGACGGGGAGTGAGAGTGGCCGGGAAAAAGGAAGGGGAGGAGGGGGTGGTTGGTGGGGGCAGCATCGATGGGCTCCGGTGACCGTTCGCCGCCACTGAGGTCAAACGGAAACAGAGACGTCACAAGTGAAATGTCTGTTCATGTGCCGAGTAGAAAGAAAAGCGAGAGATGTGCGTGCCTGCGTGCGTACGTGCGTGCACATGTGTGAAGCAGATTTCCCCCAATCATTCAACACAAAGAAAGGTGACCGAAGGAGATGCGCAGGAGAGAAAAACTTCCTCCAGTCTTATCTTAATTGTTGCACGCTCAGTCAAGCACTGAAGCGCCTTTGTCAGGCGGGGGCTCTTTTGGCCCTTTTCCAGCGCGCTTGGGCCGTTGCTCGTTCAGGTCCAGTGCCCGCGTTAACACCCGTTCTTTCTTTTTCTCACCGACAAAATTAGCTCAAGTTCTGGTGCTTGAAACGTGCATTTAAGATGGCCCCAATTATTTGTCGGGCCAGCCTCTAACACCAACTTTTCCAACCCCACCAAAAATTGGTGCTCGTTGGACGCCAGGGGCAGTGCTGTGCTAAGTTGGCGTTGAACAAGTTCTTAGGAAGAACGTGTTTGGTTTACAAGTTGTGAGGAAGAACGTGTTTGGTGTTCCAACCACAAAGAGCCAAGTAGGAGCAACGTCATTAAGTCAAGCGTCCAAACGTCACTGCTTACGTCCACGTTTACGCAAGAGCACCTGCGCTATTAATAATAAGATGAAGAATAACAATGCGCTGTTAGCATCTGTTAGGCAACTTAGCATAGCATCGATTACACGAGGTAGTCAATAACAGTCGGGGACAAGCGATCGATCGGCTTATCGTTTTTAATCATCGAAGATGATTACGAGTCAAAGTTTGCGTGCTCTTTGGCCACATCGATTGGAAGGATTTATGAAATGAATGTCTTCCATTTTTTTCTCGACCATTAAAAGAATGGCTGAATTCTGCATGGGGGGTCACATTTCAAGCCCCCCCCCCTGCAAAAAAAGTCGTCAAATCATTTGCCGAGGGAAGAGACGACACCACCTCGGTACACGCGGCTACACCTCTTGCATTTCCTCTTGGAGCAGCATTCCTGGCGTTATCAGCTTCACAAATCGGCTGCTCTCGTCGTGCCCAAACAGGGAGAGCCAGAACGTGACGGCGAGGAGCTCCGGCATGAGAGCCAGCCCAGAGAGCCCAGAGTTGCTCCGCCGCCGAGACTCACAGTGTTTCATTGTCCGCTGGCTGATGATGAAATGATAAGGCCGAGAGAGGAAAGGGGGGCGGGGGGGAGAAACAAAAACGTTGAACACCTCGGAGGAAG